AATCCGCGTGTTCCTTTTGATGAACACGCATCCTCTTCATCACAGGCACTGACATGACCCTTGAGCAGCTGCAGAGCCGATGGGAGCTGAACTACGATCCACGACGCCAAGGCCGCCGCGGGAGTGAATGAGATATTCCGACTTTGAAGCTTCGACATTACCAGCCCTATGCTTTCCTCGGCCGACTGCGATGAATGCGTTCCGGACTGGGCGGTCAAACGGCGACCGTCTGCTTTGGCAATGTCGGCATTGCCTTTTGTCCTTACGTTCCTAATCGTCGCCGTCGCCGTATCCCACAAGCTCTTTCCCCTGCTCTCGGGCCGCGCGCACCTCAAAGACCGCCCGGATGCGGGACTGCCATCAGCATTTGCGTTGCGCGAGAGAGGCTCGATTCTCCAACATGTACGGATTTCATCGCGCAGACTCGCAAGCATCACCTTCTCGACGAACATTGCCCTCTCCGCCGTCCTCGTCGAGCTCATTCTCTGCGAGATTTCGAATACGGTCAACCGTGCCACCCGCACCCTTGCGCTGAAGTTTACGGTCCCGTTCCTCCTCTTCCTTTTGGTGGTAGTCACTCCGGCGTTGGAAATACATTCGGTGCTCTCTGGCGCGGGATGGGGCTTTGGAAAGCACCGGCGGATAGCATGGGTGTTGGAGGGGACGGGAATGGTGGTTTGGCTGACGGGGTTCTGGTATCTAGGGAGAGGGCTTTTGGGGTCATATCTGCACGAAGAGTCGTATGTTCGGGACCACAGCATCAGTGAGGGGTGTTTGGAGCGGATTGGCATAATTGGGATCAGCCTGATGGCCTCGCTGGCGGGATTCGCGGCGATTAGCTCTATGTGGCAAAGCTTTGGAGTCAAGTATCGTATTGTAGGTCTCTCACTGGAGTTTGGGGGTCAACCTAACCAGAACAGGTCACCGAGTCTGATATTGCGCGGAAGCAGGCCGGTTTGGAAGCCACGAACGACATGCTCTTGACGAAGGAGAGCCGTCTCCGTGCCCTACAACGGAAGATGTCCGATACCCCACAAGAAGGATTTGTGACGCGTGTCATGGGGAGCATTCGCGGGAACCCGGATGTCCAAGAGCGCAGCACTCTCCAGCTCGAGATTCAAGGCCTCGAGACCATGCGAACGTCGCTCCAAAACTCGATGATGGTTCTCCAAAACCGGCGACAGTTTCAGCTACGCTCACACACGGTATACGGCCGCTTGCTGAATCTCTTTAGCTTTGTCTTTTCGCTCTACTGCTCCTACCGCATCGCAGCGACAATATTCACCACGTTGCGCCGCTTCTCGGCGCCGAACACGAGTTTCTCCAACAGTGACCCGATCAACAACTTCCTCGCCATTCTGGCAAAGTACTGGGACCCGAGTCTGGACCGCGTGGCATGGAGCCGGATTATCTCATTCTTGCTCTCCGGGCTCATGCTGCTGCTATCTTTCAATAGCGTCCTACAAACCTTTTTGCTCTTTGCGCGCGTTGTCCCAGGAATCCTGCAACACGCCCGCGCCAACCTGGCACTCCTCATCTCGCAGATCTCCGCGACGTATGTGATCAGCTCGGCGCTCTTGCTGCGCAGTAATCTGCCCACCGAGATGAAGAGCGCGATTTCGGATGCTCTAGGCGCACCGCTCGAGCCCGCGTTCACGGAGAGGTGGTTCGAGGGATGGTTTCTCGCGGCGAGTGCTTTGACGGTGTTGGGGCTGTGGGTCGGGAAGAGGATAAGGGGGAGTGGCTGGGATGACGACGATGATTTAGGAGATGGGGATGTGGAGATAGGGAAGATGAGTTAGAATGGCATCATGGATGGAGTTCTTGGGATTGGGTTGGGTTGGTCATGGTTGGGTGCATTATGGGTGCTAAAAGGCTGTATAACTATGTCTGTATTCGAGGGATACCATACCATATCAGCATTCAGGGAATGCCTCCCGGTAGCACTGTTCCTACAGCCCGAGTCCTCGGGCAACATTATCGTCGTGAAACAGAAAGCGTCCGTGAAATAGGAGCTTTTCAGCCCAAGGCTAGCACGGATGAACAACCCTCCAATTTATGCATCAGCAGGATTCATAAGCCAGGCAAAAGCTCCGTATGGCGCGACTTTATCGCAGTTGACGTAGGCGCTTAATCGCTGGCTGCACGTATATGCCCGATGCGGATGCAATGCCAAGGCTGATACAAGAATGACGTCGTCGTGGGGCAGTTGCTACAGTCAAAAGCGCGGGAGGCGCGTCGACGAGAGAAGTTTCATTGACCTCGAAACACCAATTTGAATCAAAAGGTAAAGTTCTGAGAGGCGTTGGAGACTGAGTTGAATGTTAATAATGGGCAGCTTCTACTTACCCACACACATCCACACAACGTACGTACGCTTCTCTCGCTCATCGCTCTCAATCAATCGATAGCTCCTGTACACCGAAATCGCCCCTCCCTCCCTCACCTCCCTCGCCTGCATTCCCACTCCTAAATCTCCCACCTAACCTCCTCAGTCCACAAAAACAACCAACCAACCAACCCACCACTCCCTCCATCAAAATGTCCGCCCCCAACACCGGCCGCCAGTCCCCGGAGCCGGAACACCAAACTCACGACCAGTCTGGTAGCATGACGTCCAAGGCCAACGAGCAAGGCGGCGCACCCTCAAAGACGCAGAATGCGCAGCAGAACAGTGATGATACGAAGGATGGGCTGCCGAGTAACCCGGAGCATGTGCTTGCAGAACATGCAGAGAGTACGACGAGTAAGAAGTAGATGATGGAGATGATGCAAATGAGAGCATGATATCATTGGGCGAGGAATGGATGGTGCTCACTTCTGATGGTCGGTTTGAGAATGAAGGGGATGGGGAACTCGAGGACAAATGTTAGAACTCGAGGGAAATGAAAACCTGAACTTAATATGAACATCATTAGTATTTCGAGATTTTGAATCAGGGGTGTGCTGTCGTGAATTCCTGCTCAATTGAATGGACAACCTCGAGGAACGGATTCTGATATCTGCTCCCGGCTTGCTATCAAGGCAGACGGTCGCAGAAAGTCTTCGCATCAAACGAAGAGCTGTGCAAGCTCATACGCATGACAAATCCGAATGCAAAGCATGATTTGAGCTGGATCAAGAAGCCCAACACCCTGATGGATTGGTTCGATGGGCAGAAGAAAGACTTCTATACCCGATTCCCTGATTGCTTTACCATCGTCGTTAACCTCGTGAAATAGGTCACGATCTTCGATGACCAGTTGCTGGCTCATTCAGTTAAGCCGCGACTCGGAGGCTGGTCATTAAGTTGTATCGCCCCCTTCGCTTTCATGCGATCGGTCCTGGTTTACTGGGACCGCCTGGCTGAGATCAGGTTTTTCCATTGAGTCTGCTGCCTTGTGCGGTGGTTCGAGGAAGAACAACGCACACCACGAGATTCTCGGTCGCAGTAACCCAAAGAAAAGGTTGGTTTTAATAGCGACGGTGGCGAAATTTGATGATCATAGAATTTCTTGTATGGAGGTCTGCTGGGGAGTTGCCGTGCGTGCTGGCATAGCAATGCTGAGTACCGATTGAATTGATCCGGCATGTCCGTCGATCATTTACCTGGTACTATTTCCGTGTCAGTGCGATCTTCTGACGAGTTCAGCCAGGGATCTCTCTTCTCGCACACGACACAGACCGCGGCTCTAAAGCGAATGTGGCAGCCCACGTCGCTCGCTATCCCAAGTCGCTGTGCCTTGAGAATGCGACATTTCCGGCAAGATTATTGGGGCGTGTCTGAGAGGTTGTGAGAATGTTCTACCCCCCCGTATCAGTTATATGAACGTTTACTTATGAGAAGCAAAGGGTCTCCTCGTTATTTTTTAGAACTTCCACCCACTTCTGGCTAGTAGGCTGCCGTGGTGTCCCGTCGGCGAACACATGAGTTATTCCAAAATGCTACATCCCAGACACATACGGCAGGACTCACCTACGACACTTCGATATGCCAAATTTATTTAGGATGTGGAAGTATGACATCGCTTTTCGTATGTGATGATGCACATAAAGCCTCCAATTCTGCCTCCGCAGTCATTTGTGGAAGTGAGGGCAGTGATGTGCAGCAGAAATCGTGACGACGCACTTGGAACAAGATTCCATAACAGTATCTTCTTGAGCGGCGGAGTTAATAATACATTCTTCGTCGGTAATCTTACCACGCTCTGCTACCAAGGAGCTAGTATTTTTAAGGAATACCATAATTAGATTGTTAATGCAGCCAGCGGAATCCTAGCTCGACCCATATTATTATAAAGCGTATCTAAATAGACGATTGTTGCTCTATTTCCATAGCTTTGAACAGGGAGAAGCTATAAGTCAAGTACTGTCGAGTAAAGGTATTCCTCGACAAATCCTGGCTCCTTTGTACCTCGTGTCGAAACTACGTTGAAGCGCAATCCACTTACGCGTCTTGACTTGCCATCAGCCCGTGGCGCTACAAGTGATATGTGTTATTTTATGTACCTCAACCCCGTTGACTGCATCCACGTTAAAGTTCTGGATTCTCTTCCGACGAAGAACTTAGAGCGCTGAAACTTCGTTACCAGCCGATTGACATACCAAACCCAATCTCACCCTTGTGCAGGGTGCGCTCAACGGAATGAATGTGGTTTTACAGATAAGTTCCAGAATATAACAACTCCTAATTTTAGGTCTCAATCCAGCCGTGTACCTCTGGCCAAGAGCGCCGGGAAGCTATGATGTGCTGTCACCAGCTGCCTGGATGAAGCCATGCCCCGTTCCGCTCAGGACAGCAAGGTATTCCACAACAGAACTCCTGTCTCTGACCCTATAAACCTGGGTTTATTTGATCGCTTTCGTTTAGTGTTCTCGCTAAAAAAAATTCCGCACATCAGCCAAGTTTTCGGCGGCCACAGATCCAGGTATTGGTTACCCACACTCTAGCAGGGAATTTTATAGCATGCATAAATGGAACTGCGCGGGATCTAAGGCCCAAAAAAACGCAAAAAGAATGATGGACTTGCTGGGAATCGAACCCAGGACCTTTCGCAGACACATGTCGTTATGCGAAGCGAACATTATACCCCCTGATAATTGTTAGTTATATGCAGTGAATGTTGCATTAGATTATTACGTACTAAACCACAAGCCCATTACTGAATTATATTGCTCTGAAGATTTGAAGATTTCATATAACATTGAAATTGGCGTTGAAAGCAAGAAATATTGAGTTTCGGTGGAGTCGTGGCCGAAGCGGGGAAGAACGGAAAGAACACCAAAGCACACACGATACTCTCAGGGTGATGAGCAATTAACTGATCTTACATGTGTGGGGGCCTTCTTGCGCCTGCGCTTTTCCTTTTTATGCAGGCACATACATGTTTCTCAACTATTTCTCCACCAAATCGCGACCAAATCGCACCAAATTGATGCGATTGGAAAGACCTCACTCAACTTGACAAGGATGGACCCTGCAATTTTATTAGGCAGTTGTTTGTTGCATGCAGTCGCTGCAAAGCATCTGGTTGAATCTTGAGGCTTAATCTTCGTGAAGAGGTCCGTGCGTGGGGGTTTATCGATAAGGATGTGGACCACCACAACCACGATGCGATGCGATGCAGAGCCCCAAGCTTTTAATGCGATAATTAGGGCAACCAGATCACGTCGGATTTCAGCAATTTCGACAAGACTTGAATGTCTCAATTGACAACTGCTGACTTTCATGCGTACTATTTTGGCGGTCGAGTGTCGCGATTTATCGGTGCGAAGTGCGCGGTGTTCATGCTCGGCCCCAGCTGGGATTCCAAGTATGTGCCCGCATCAGAAAGGTATGTGTGCCGATCGATCCCATAAAAGACAAAGATATGAGGGAACATGTATGTGTCCGCAGTCTTGCATCGGAGAATGCCTGGCGTGGCGCGGGGGGGGAGGAGCAACACCACCGCATTGCTTCGACGCGAATACACTATGCATCATGGACCACGGAGGCGGCATATGTTCTAAGAATTCCAGACTCATAAGTAAACATTCTCGCAACTTATGCCGGGGCCTGACTGCTTCACTCTACCTCGCTCATACTGTACCAATTGCTGTATTCTGGGATGCTACTCAGGTATACTGAGCAATCCGTCGGCTCCCCTTGGATCCTTCATAGCCCCTGAACAATAGATTTGCTCTCACGGCCCTTACCTGCCCGTCCTGTCCTGTTCTGCCCTACCCTGTCCGCCTCATTCCTAACTGAGTACTCTGCATTGTGATTAGTTTATAATTGGGCCTAGATACGATAGAGATACTTGACTGATGAGGATAGTGATATATAGCGATAGAGATAATAGAGATGATGGCGTGGGGAGCAGAGTTATGGACGAAGGAGGGGAGCTGGCATTATATGTAGCCAGGGGCGCGGCGTTCATAGACCCACCCAACCTAGATTAACTCACCTAGCATGTAGCAACTTCAGTCAGATTCTACGAAGATTTGAGATATTACAAGTCAAATCTCCAGCAAGGAAGATACTTTTAGTTAGTTCTACTCAATATGGAGGACAAAGCTTACTCTTAAGCGGAAAGAAACGTAATGAGTGGTGTATAACCTACTTATTGAGTGGCCTGGGTGGGTTTTCCTCTCATTGAGTGGAAATCGAACCGCATGTTCGTTGCGGGGGCCCAACGGCTCCTGGGATAGACTCGATGTCTTGCTTCCCCTCCGAAATTTCAAGCTCGTGGCTGCTCTAAAAACTAGGTTGATCATTATATAAAAACACAAAATTTTACTACAGAGTATACTGGTTCATTTCTCTGCATCAATCAAAGCAGAAGCTAAAAACCTTTAGGCGATGACGGTATGTATCATTCACGACTCGCAGTGGGATGGACGACCACTACCTGCCCCAACGACAACCACATCTCCTTATAGCGCCGCGGGCAGTTCTGGAATAGTGCTTATGACTGCCCGCACAGAAATTAGTTTAGAAAATCGAGAATGGCTTTCCTGAGGCAGCGTGTAGGTCTGAGGCGGAAGTGTTAGCGGTTTGCGAGACGGCCTACAATACGAAATTTTGAGGAGAGTTTTTCGAGGATGATGGCAAGTGGAGGAAGTAGCAGTTGTTGGATCGTGGAGAGGTGAGCGTGATTACTAGTGATGGCGATGGGGATGAGTTGGTAGATATAGAAAATGCGCTGTCTTTATGCAAGTTCGCCTGTGCTTCTTACACTTCTGTGAGATGCTCGTATTGGCATGAAATAAAGACTGAATCCCATGCGAACGCTATAATCATATGAACAACCCAACCCACTTAGCTCTCTTCCATTAATCACTGTTCAGTTTCCAGCCTGACTTTGCCAGTACACGCGCTACATCTTGGTTAGAATTCGTAGCTGGTCTGCGACTTCAAACATCAGGAATGCTTTCGCGTCTTTCGGAAAGAAATTTTTCATTTTCCAACTTTGCTACATGACTACTTCGAGTCGAGTAACATTGCGACGGAGTTGCGCAAGTAGATTTACCACAGCGCGTCGAAACTACAATCCCTGGAGGAAACATCTGTAATTCAATCCCACAAAGTTTTGCTCAATCTCATGGATTAGGGGAAGGATGCGCTGAAATGTTGTCTGGGGACTCAAACCTGCACCCCTGCGTAAAGCGTTGGAGCGTTGCGACGGGGCGAAATCTTGTCCTCCAGGTAATGTACAGTGCATCGCAATTGGCAACAAGCCAAACATACACTGCGGCGCGATTTCCACTCAATGAGTGGGTTTTTTGGCACGTAAACACCCACTCCATGAGTGGAAAATCAAACCGCAGTGTATCGCTGATAGATAATATTATATGTACGCCACCGTACATCGCAACTTGCAATACGCCAAAAATATTGCTAATAGATAGTAACTAAGATTATATATATATATGATTGTATATGAAAGCTAGTAAGTATGTAGTTAGAGGAAGTATGTGTGTAGGCTAGGAAGTATATGAATAGATAATGTATGTATGTAAGCTGGTAAGAAGATAGGGAGTAGATGGTTAGACGTTGGAAATGTCGGAGATGTGAAAGCTGGTGAGAAGGTAGCGAATAGATGTGAGGGATACGTAAGCTGGCGAGAATATAGCGAATGGAGAAGTAGATGTTGAGAGATCGCTAGATTTGGCATAGGTAGCTGGCCATTATGGCGGATAGATGAGTAGATGTTGAGAGATGTCTAGATTGGGTAGAAGTGGTTTGTGATGATGGTGGTAATAGCGAATAGATGTTGAGGAAATGGTTATGTGGCGAATATAGCAGAAGGCTGAGATGTTTATGTGGCGGATGTGGCAGAAGATGGCTGAAATGGTAATGTGGCGGATGTGGTGAGTAGATAGCTAGATGCTTGGGCGATGCGCTTAGACCAGTCTCAACAGTGTGAGACTGTCGTCCCCTATGGCGATCTTGTCGACCACCACTTCGCACGGCGGGACCCATTCGCACACGCAGGATGTATTGTGCATACCTTGCGGCTGATCAACCAATTCAGCTTGGAAAATAGGTCGCGAGATCGGACACGAAGTCGAGTTCGTTGAGCATGGGCTTGCAAAGCCGTTGTGAGCAGGAGTGAGTTGATCGGGCACGTACGGTGGCCCTCAAAGTGTGGCGGCTCATTTGAATGGCTTATATATTCTCTGGTAGTGACTTCCTTACTCGGCTCCGGTGGGAGGCCATCTCTCTCAAAGTGCCTGCGGCAACCACACCACTCGATATGGTCAGCATTGGCTGCTCCAGTGAAGCCAGCACTAGAATCTAAAGATGGGATTGGCTGACTGACGTCTGCGGGCTTATCTCAGCTGGAAGCATGAGAGAGTGGCTTGGGAAAAAGAGGAGGAAGGACATTCAAGCTGCATGGATAAGTACTTGCAAGGCTCCCATATTGGCGGACCTGGGTTCGCTAGCAGAACATTGTTAATCAAAGGATGACGCATGAAGAGATGGATTCAAACATTTTTCCAGTCATTAAATAATTTAGACCTTAAACCCAAAAAGCAGCTTGTGTATACATGACTGGCTAACACCGTCAAGGCAAAGTATATCGCGTGAGCTAGATTGTTGACTTGGTAAGTCTAGCAAAGAGTTCTGTCAAAAATGGCAAGTACCATATAGAGTATTATATACAGAAACACATTATTTTACTATAGAAAGCACCAGCCCTATTTCTCTGCACTAATAGAACCTGGAGCTAGAAACATTCAGGTACTCTCTACTCATGCGGCTCGACATACCCTAGGGTCCTGGGAGCCGAAAGATGCATGGATTTAGACATGAACACTTCCAGAAGTAGATAAAAGATCAGCAACATTATATAACAGATGTTGGCATCATCCTCGCCAACCAGAAAACCCGGTTTGTTCAGCGAAGTTAAAGGGGCGCTTTGCATGTGAAGCCTACTGAGAAAGGCACACTTGAAGACTAAAAACAAGAATAGAGGGCAAGGCATGTGATGAATAGCTGGTACCTGCACGTCAAATGATTGACATGTTCTAGTCTTCTAGATGTGTCGTTTATCAAGCCCACAATGATCCTTGTAAGTCGAGCTACACAGATGGAGACCCTCTCCATGTCGCTGCGTCGAGCCAAAATCAGGCCCTGGGAAAGAAGAATCCCGGTACTGTAGTGAAGTACATTAGAGCAAGCCAGTTTGCCGTCATAAAGATGCCACTCCCAATACCAGACAGCTAGCTCCAGTAGGTATGATCCCGCACGACTCAAACACTCTCCGTATACCACGATGCCTTCACGCCAAGATGACTGAGCGTCCTCATCGCACGGGCAACGTCTTCGTAAGAGATACCAGAAGGAAAGTCATGTAGAGGCTGTAGCTCTCGTCAGTACTAATTCCCTCCAAGAGGGTTAGGCAGAGGGTACAAGATGAGAAAGAAAGTGTTCGGGGAGCTCCGTAGAAAACGTACGAAGGGATACTTACCTCTTCTTCTCCGCCACTGCTGCTATGCTTTTCAGTAGCAGCTTCATCGGAAGCACTCACACCGTGCCCTCCCTCTCCACCAGCCTGAGGCTGCACACTGCCATCCATATCCTCACTCCGACGCTCGCCAACGTCCTCTTCCCTGCCATTCCCCTCGCCATGCCACTCTTTCCTCATCAGCACCACCCTGTTTAACCCACCC